CGCCTCCTTTCACACCGCGGTGCTCAATCTTCTCAAGGCCAACACCGCTGCGGGCACTGCCGGAGGGGGGTCATGCTGCGTGCCCACTGCCCGGCGCCCCCTGTCTCTGCTCTACTATGACAGGAACAGCAACATTGTCAAGACTGACATACCTGACATGGTGGTAGAGGCGTGTGGGTGCAGTTAGTCTGTGTGTGGTACCGGCAGCCCGAGGTGGGGTAGGCAAACATGCCCTGACGGAGGCGCTCTTCCTTGATAGGAGGGGGTGGCCCCGTTACTGCCTCTGTCCAGAAGATGGACTCCCTCTTCCTGAGTAACTTATGAGAATTATCCCAACTTTGACGTGAGGAGATCTTCATCAAAGCACTGTCATCTAAGGAGAGTCACTGTACCATCTTCATAATGACCAGCCCCTCTCCCAGAGTACAGTCCCTCCAGCAAGCTCCACGTGCTCAACCACCACCCTAGGGACTCTCATCCACCTCCAACCACAAGCAGTGCCATCTGGTTCCCAGACAGATACACATAGCCCAACTTTTTTTTTTTTTTTTTGCGGTACGCGGGCCTCTCACTGTTGTGGCCTCTCCCGTTGCGGAGCACAGGCTCCGGACGTGCTGGCTCATCGGCCATGGCTCACGGGCCCAGCCGCTCCGCACCATGTGGGATCTTCCCGGACCGGGGCACAAACCCGTGTCCCCTGCACCGGCAGGCGGACTCTCAACCACTGCGCCACCAGGGAAGCCCTCCATAGCCCAACTTTAATCCAGCCCACAACCCACTATGCATCCCTGCCCCTTCTACTCAATGTCCCCCACTCCAGGATGAGTTGACCCAGCCCCTTCCTCTGCTTTTCTGGATCTCCAGAGAGGCCCTTCCTTAGATTCACCAAACATTCGATCCTTTCCATGTCTTGAGCCCTTTTCCTCTTACTTGCCCAATGGGCTGCTAAAGGCTCTCTTGGCACACTCTCATCACTCTTTGTCCTTCTCCGTCCTGCTCCGTACCCTTGGGGTCTGACTCCTGAGTTCCCTTGGCCTCTGGCTTCCTGCTGAGTTTGACTAAGAGGAGACAGAGGCAGAAGATCAAAGGATAGGAGGAGACAGAGGTCAGGGTGTTTCTTATTCCTCCTCCTTCTGCCTAGGTTCCATGGTTCTGTGTGACTGTGGCTGCGTCCATGTCCCTACAGCTCCTGTCTAGCTCCCCACCCCCTCCATGGCTCCGGCTCTGCCTAAGTTCTGATCTCACTGCTTCCATGCTATGGGCTTATAATGGCTTTCCATTCTTGCCGGTCCCTGGGTGCTTCAATATCCCTCCTTGGTTCCCTTAACCCTGCCCATACCTCTGTAAAGAAGTCCTTCATTAAGTCTTCTTAGTGATGCAAACACAGACAGCTGAGTGGGTCTTTTATGTCCTGCCAGGACCCTGACTGACACCCCAGATGACACAGAGCCTGCCTGCCCTGCCCACTTTTCTCTCCTCACAGCCCCCTTAGGGCCGAGCTATTACGTCCATCCCACACATCATGACTCTTCCTTCGCCAGGCTGCTTCCTCTTCTTTCTTAGTCCCCCTCCTCCCTCCCAGAACCATCTTTGCTTGTCTTATGGCTAATAAAGACCTGGGTTTTACCTGCCCCTCTCCCCTCTCTGTCCTCGCTCCAAGAAATGAGACAGATCACTGCTCAGTCAGCAAGTAGGTGACACCCTGAGGGCACACACATGGGGGGAGGCAGAGGCATGGCTCCCAGCTGGCTGCCTTCCCTTCACTCACCCCCAGGGCTCCAGCCAGGAGTCCTGTCTGGAAGCTGGAACTGGCCAAGGGCCATTTGAGTGGGACAAGGAGAAGAAAAGGAAGGCCTGGGGTGAGGAGAGGGGGGCATTTGCTCTGAGACTGGGTCCTCTCTAGACCTTTGCCCTCTTCCCCCACCATCTCCTCCCTTTGGTTGGACAGCCCTGAACCATGGGGTCAATATTGTCTGCAGCCCAAGGCCGAGTTTGCGCAAAACCCATGTGTCCTTTGGGAAACGTGATGTCAGTGTTTGCTCAGCATATAACCCCCTCCTATCTAGGGCTGAGGTCCTTGGAAATGGAACCCTAAAAGGAGAAAGTCTGAAAGAGACCTCCTGGGGGGCTGCAAATCTGAGCTGTGGGGCTTCAGGACCAAACTCATGGAAGTTATCCCAACTTTGACTTGAGGAACTCTTCATCTAAGCAGAGAATCTAAGGAAGTCTTCTGGTGGCTCTGCCTCCCCCTTCCACCGCTGTCTCCCACCCCCAATCCACCCGTCCCCCAGATCTAACCTCCCTCCCTCCAACTATAGCTTCAGTCCCCAGGGTCAAGACTAAGGTGAGGAGAAGCGAGGCTCTTGCCTTGGGGGCAGAATTTTAAGGGGATGCCAAAAAATTCATCAGTCAAGATAAATAGGATCTTAATGCAATATTTTAAAAAATCAAACTCAATGCAAAAAAAACAAGATGAACAAAATAGCAAATTTTAAAATAAACTAAATTTAGAAGGATCAGTATTATTCCTTTTCCTTTTTGGCTCTGTCTTTGACAAAAAGGAGGAGTGGAATTGTCTTCTTCCAAACCTTTTCTTCCGGAGCTCCCTGGCCCCTAACTCTAGACTTGGTCAGGCTTTTCTCTTTCGGGCAAGATAATCGCTCAGGCTCCTTCTACTTCCTTACCCACCCTCATTCTACTTCCTTACCCACCCTCAAGCCTGTCGCTACCCCCCAGCCCCCAACCAGGTTGGTGGTAGGGCGGGCCTGGGAGGCAGATGGCTGGGGTATTTATAACCTGGGAGCACTTCTTGAGAAAAGTGACTAAGATGCTAAGAGCATATTTATAGCCGGGTTCTGACGTAAGTGTCAGTAGGGAGGTAGGGGCAGGCCAGGCACAGCAGAAAGAGGGTAGGAAGAGCTGGAAATTGGGGGCATCTGACACAGAGGGAAGGGGAGAGATGGGGTCAATGACTCCTGCAGCCACTTCCTCTTGCTTTGCTTGACTCAGGCTCACCCACAGGTAAGCCTTCTGAGATACCATGGGCAGAAACCTCTGCTTTGCAGTTCTGTGGTCCAGACCCCAGGGGGTAGAGGGCTGTCACTCAGGATAGAGAGGGAGCTGGGGAGAGCCCTGGACAGATGGGCTTGAATATGACTCAAGACCTAGGGTGGCGAGGAGCATCTAAAATTCTCATTGGCCCCCTCCCCACCACAGGTGCCCTAAGTTTCTAGGAAGAGCCTGGCACCCATCACCACGCTCCATTGCCACGTGTCAGCAGCGATGAGATCCAAAACCAAATCGAAGTTAGCAGTGATGTGGTCCTGACGACAGCTTCTGCTCTCCAGCAGTGGCGAGGGGAGAGAGCTGAGGGACCAGCTTCTCTGTCTTCTGGTGTAGAGGCAGGGTCCCCAGAGTAAGAGGTTGGGAAGTGCTCTGAATCTCTCCACTCCCCAGAGCAGCCCCTTCCCTGGGAAGCTGGTCAGCGCCAAGCCTACTGCTGTCCAGTGGCTCAGCACTGCCACATGGTGGACACTGGTGGTACTGAGCCCTAGCCCACAAGGCACCACCTCTCCCCCTGTGCCAGATCTAGCAGTCTCTCTTGAGAGCCCCCACTGGCTGAATAGTGGGGAGACTAATAAATGAATAGGGGCGCATTTCCAAATCACACTCACTTCCTCCCAGCTTCTTGAAGAGACTTGAGCACAGGGAGAAAGGCTGGCATGAGGCCTTGGTTAGGCCATTTAAAGCCAGCGAGCAGTGTGGTAAGGAGGGCTGGGGCTGGGACTAAGGTTGCTGTACTGGTCATGCTTTGTTCTTAAAAGTCCATAAGCCTGGGCTTCCTGGTGGCACGGTGGTTGAGAATCCGCCTGCCAGTGCAGGGGACACGGGTTCAATCCCTGGTCCGGGAAGATGCCACATGCCGCCGAGCAACTAAGCCCGTGCGCCCCAACTACCAAGCCCGCGTGCCTAGAGCCCGTGCTTGGCGACAAGAGAAGCCACCGCAATGGGAAGCCCGCGCACTGCAATGAAGAGTAGCCTCCTCACGCAGCAACGAAGACCTCATGCAGCCAAAAATTAATTAATTAATTAAAAAGAAAAAGTCCATAAACCTTCCATTTCCCACCACCATGAACAGAGGCTGGCAGCACTTCTGGGATATCCCAAATCTGGGCAGTTCTTACAGTGCCCTGAAAGAGAACCAGCAGCTGGGGACAGGCCCTTCCAACTCCCATGCCCCTCTGCCATCCTTGATGGACTCTGCCCTGCTGTAAGATTGCATCACCACTACCCCCACCTCTCTAGGTTTCCCCAGACATCACAGTAACATGCTACTCCCCCCCCCCACCAATGCTCCAGCCCTCGTCCACACTGTGCTCCAGTCCAACTGGACTCTGGGCGGTCAGCACAGGCAAGGTCAGGGGGTGACTTCTGTGCCCCGTGGCACTGCCACCTTGGCCTGGGCAAGAGGACTCCGTTCCTCCCACCCCCAGCCTCTCACCACTGTCCCAGCCCCATTGCTAGAAATAAAAAGACCAGAGTTCACCTTCCAGCCCAGAGAAATGACCACTGGGATTCCCAGCTGCCTCATGGAAACTGCTGCAGCAGTGGTGGATGGGCAAGCTAGACAGACTGTAGGTATGGGGGAAACTGCCCTTCCCACCTTGCTCGTATGGAGTTCCCTCCCCCGAGCCCCAGACCTTGGGGACTGAGCATGTGAAATCATCCTCCTTCTTGCATCATGCGTGTCCACATAGCCCCCCCACCCCCATACCCCTGCCTCAAGCTCCGTGACCAGGGCCAGATGGTGAAACCTGAGCTCCAGGGGGGAACCTCCACCCCCTGCAGGGACCTGATGGGCAGCACAGTTGGCCAATCCTGGGGCTCAGAGGGTAGGTCTGCCTGCTGACCACTAGGTGAGGGAGCCCTAGGCTGCTGGCTCTAGAGAGGCCCCAGTCAGTAGCCAGACATGAGCTGTGAGGGTCAAACTGGCAGACTACACTGAACACAGCTACCCATCGGACCGTCCACTGTCTGCCTTCCTGAGCCCCAGGCAACAGAAGACAGGTGGCTCTACCCTTGGCCAAGGGTAGGTGTGGCAGTGCTGTCTGCTGCCGCCGTGCCCTCATTGGCCTCCACGCAACCAGACTCAACAGAAGGAGCTACAGCCACCCGAGGCTCCCGACCTGACCCAGGGCCATTCACCAGGAGCATGGGACTCTCTGATGTCCAGCTCCAGCTGGTGCTGCTGTGGGCACTGGTGTGGGCACAGAGGGCAGGGTCTGCGTGTCCCTCCTGTGGAGGCCCCACACTGGCACCCCAAGCAGAACGAGCTCTGGTCCTTGAGCTAGCCAAGCAGCAGATCCTCGAAGGGCTACACCTGACTGGTCGTCCCATAATAACTCATCCTCTACCCCAGGCAGCTCTGACCAGAGCCCTCCGGAGACTGCAGCGGGGAAGTGTGGTTCCAGCGAATGGGGAGCAGGTCATCAGCTTTGCTGCCATCACAGGTGGGTGAGGGAGAGACAGGCAGAGAGCAGGCGGGGAAAGGGAGAAGGGAGGGGAGAATGACAGCGACAGCAGAAGCAGAGGGAGCGCGGCACAGGAGGAAGAGGAAGAGTTGGAGCAGGACTGGCCTCGGAGTCCCTGCTTCCTCTAAAGGTGGGAGCTAGGGGGAGCAGCTGGCAGGGCTTGCGGGAGCGTCAGGGGACAGCACATCTCCGATTGCAGTCCTCAATCCCTTCTCCATCTTCCCGGCAGACTCCTCCGCCTCCACCTGCAGCTCCACGCTCACCTTCTACCTGTCCACGCCTCGGTCCCACCACCTGTACCACGCTCGCCTCTGGCTGCATGTGCTCCCCACCCTTCCTGGCACCCTTTCCTTGAGGATTTTCCGATGGGGCCCTAGGAGGAGACGCCGAGGGTCCCACGTCCTCCTGGCTGAGCACCAACTGACGGCCCCGGGCTGGCACGCCCTGACTCTGCCCTCTAGTGGCTTGAGGCATGAGGAGTCTGGTGTCTTGAAACTCCAACTGGACTGCAGACCGCTAGAAGGCAACAGCACAGCTGCCCCCCAAACTCAGCAGCTCCTGGACACAGCGGGAGAGCAGCGGCCCTTCCTGGAGCTGAAGACCCGGCCCAAAGAGCCTGGAGCAGGCCGGGCCAGGAGGAGGACCCCCAGCTGTGAGCCTGAGACCCCCTTATGCTGTAGGCGAGACCATTATGTAGACTTCCAGGAACTGGGATGGCAGGACTGGATCCTGCAGCCTGAGGGGTACCAGCTGAATTACTGCAGTGGGCAGTGTCCCCCGCACCTGGCTGGCAGCCCAGGCATTGCTGCCTCCTTCCATTCTGCTGTCTTCAGCCTCCTCAAGGCCAACAACCCTTGGCCCTTGGGTACTTCCTGTTGTGTCCCTACTGCCCGAAGGCCTCTCTCTCTCCTCTACCTTGACCGTGATGGCAACGTGGTCAAGACAGATGTGCCAGATATGGTGGTAGAGGCCTGTGGCTGCAGCTAGCGAGAGGACCTGGGGGTTTGGAGTGAAGACATCAAACTAGGGGTTCCTAGGCAAAGGGCATCTGTGTCTGGAGGCATCAGATTCCTGACCCATACCTTCATCCAGTGGGTCACCTGGCAATATGAATGGGTTGACCCCTCTGGGACCCAAATGGGCACTTTCTTGTCCAGACTCTGGCACATCCCAGGCTGGTTGATGTGTAGGGAGATGGGGAAAGTGTGTCCTCTAAAGGAGTCTACCCAGAAAGTATGATTTCCTACCCCAAGCCATCTGAGAAGGTGGCAGAGGTGAGGGAGGGAGGGTGGGAAGGAGAAGGCAGAGAAAAATCACTTAGTCTCTCCAGAGGAAAGTCCTCAAGTGAGGGAAGGAAGAAGCAGACCAAGGGCCCACTGGGCTTGGGATTGGGGGAAACAGGCTGGCCAAGTGTAAGGGCTGTGGAAGTGCTTGAAGGGAGGCTCAAGAGGGAGCTGGGAAAGGGGCTGACGGGAGGTGTTTGGGAGAGCCCCGGAAATGGGAGTCCAGAGAGAGGAGTGCTGAGCCTGAAAAGTTCTCTGGTTTTTCTTGGGGGGGGGGGGCAGGACCCATCAGGGAGGCAAATGTTTATACTTTCCTAATAAAAATGAGGAAAAAGAAATCAACAAGTGTGAGTCATAAAGAAGGGCTGGGATGATGGTCCAGAGCAATTGTTCTCAGAGTGTGGCCTGGGAACCTCCAGGAGGTCTCTGAGACCCTTTCATGTAGTCAAAACTATTTTCATAATAAAACTAAGATGTTATATGCCTTTTTAATTTTCAATATCTCCACAACCTACGGTGGAGTTTTCCAGAGACTGTAGGACGTGAGATTACATCACATTTCTGACATCTTTGTTAATGGGATGTGTGCTTATGTATTCTTGTGTTACAAACTTTTTTTTCAGTTTTAATTTCTAATATGGTAAATTGATATAAATCACATAAACAAAAGCTCAGTAATTTTTCAGAATGTAAAGGGACATTGAAGCCAAATTGTTTGAGAATTGCTGATCTAGAGTCCTGGGTGGGGAGGAGAAAGCAGTGCGCTCTAAAGAGCTCCCCTGTGACTTCCCTGGTGGCGCAGTGGTTAAGAATCCACCTGCCAATGCAGGGGACACGGGTTTGATACCGTGGGGTCCGGGAAGATCCCACATGCCGCAGAGCAGCTAAGCCCGTGCGCCACAACTACTGATCCTGTGCTCTAGAGCCCGCGTGCCACAACTACTGAGCCCGTGTGCCACAACTACTGAGCCCATGTGCTACAACTACTGAAGCCTGCGCTTTTAGAGCATGTGTTCCGCCACAAGAGAAGCCACTGCAATGAGAAGCCCGCGCACTGCAACGAAGAGTAGCCCCTGCTTGCTGCAACTAGAGAAAGCCTGAGGGCAGCAATAAAGACACAACACAGCCAAAAATAAATTAAAAAAAAAAAAAGAGCTCCCTGGAAGGGGCATGTGTAAGGTCTCTTCTCCAGTTATCACTGATCTTGCCTGACCCTCTGGGTATAACTGTCTGGGTCAAAGTCATGTGGGGGAGGGAGGCTAAAATAGGGCTCCTTATCTGTCCTCCCACAGTTAATACATATATTTGTCAGGCCTCAGACCTCTTCCTAGCTTCACCTTTCCCCTTGACCCTCACACTGAACAGTTAACTGACTGACCCTCCAGACCCAAGGAGGCGTGGTTCTTGGAAGCAGAGCTAGGATGTGGGAGGGCTATCTGAGGGGTGACAGAAAAAGAAGGGGCTCCTTTCCCCCACCATGCCTTCTCCCCTTTCTCATAAAGAAAGTTCAGAGAGATTAAAATAGCTGCCCCTTCCCCTGCATCCGGTAACCATGGCAACACAAGTCCAAAGGGACAGGGCACTCCCCTATCAGACACTACCACTCTGCAGTAGCAGCCTCTGCCGGTGTGCCCCTCTGTTTCTTTGGGCTTATGCAACCCCTGCATGGGCTCCCAGCTGGGCTTTGGTGGGGGGACCTAAGCCTCCTACTCCTTCACTTCCCCAGTCTCCCCTGCCTCCAGTCAGACTCGAAGAAGGTGTCATGTGCCAGAAAGACCAGCAGAGGGAGCAGACAGCCTTTAAGAGCAGAAAGAGAGAGTGCCGCGTAGAGGTGCAGAGGTGGCCCCAGTCTCCAGAACGCCGAGATGAAGGAAAGTAGGAGTTCTCCGGGAACAGTGCTTCAGTCTCAGGGCTCCTTAGCACCTTTGTGAACACAGGCCCTGCGCTGTACCCAGAGCCTCAACCGCTGCTCCTCCCTTTTATGCTCCATGGACCCCTCACCTTCCGCCCAGGGCTCCCAACCCAACTCTATCCCAATCCTGTTTCCACCCCAAATCTGTCCCAACCCCTTCATGTTCTATCCAAAGGGTGAGGCCGGCAGAAAAACTACAGGATAGTTATGGAATGCTCAGTTAGCACCAAGTAAAGTCGACGACCCTACTTCCAATATTATTTTTCTCGGGTGAGGTTTTTCGTTACCCCTCCGCCCCCCAATATATTTATCAATTTGTTTTTTCTGGCTCTGATTCAGGGCCTCTTCGTAGGCAGCCGATCCAGGGATCCACGCCGGGATTTACTGCCCACTACCAGCAGCATGTTCAGCGCGGGGGGGGGGGGGGGGTTAGGCAGTATAGGGTGCCTCAAGGGAGGGGGAGGATCCTGGGGGTCCTGGGGGTGCAATAAGCCCGGCACCCCCTCTCTTGCTTCCAGCTACCCCGCCTCATCCTCCGGAACGGCAAGAGGGAGGGAAATAGGAGGGAGGTGAGGGGCGAGCGGGAAGAGCGGCGGCGCGCCAGCGGCTAGAGAAAAAGTTTTTGCAAAAGGGAAAAAAAAGTTTGCGCTTCTCGCGGGTGGTCCCGGCTCGCGGCCCGGCGGGCTGGGCCGGCTGGAGGGCTGGGGGCCAGGTTGGGGGGTGGGGGTGGCCCTGAGGCTGCGCTGCTGTAGCCCTGTCCGCCCCCCCCCCTCCCCACCGCACACCCCCCAGCCCAGACTCCAGCCCTGGACCGCGCATCCCGAGCCCTGCGCCCAGACGGAGGTGAGAAGGGGGGCAGGAGGGGGACCACCTGGGAGCGGTGGGGGAAGGGACCTGAGGGGATGCTCTACTTGCAAGGGACACTGCCCAGCCAAGGCGGGAGACCTAGGGCATAGAGGCAAAATAAGAGTGGGAGAGCCTGGGATAAGATATTAGAAAGTTTGGAGAGTTTTTTAAAATGTATCTCCCTTTCTCTGTATTTTTTTTCTTCTGACAGTCTGTGTGTCTCTGTCTCAGGCAACCGTGGATCTCTTTGTTTGTCTCCGCCTCTCCCACATGTTAGGAACATCTCACTTTAATGAGGTTGGGATGAAGAGGTTGGAAGGACGGTTAGCTGGAGGTCTGCGTAGTAGAAAGGGGACTCCAGGTGTGATTGTGAGCGCAGGGCAGGAAGACATCAGTGTTTCTGAAAGGAGGGAACAGCTACGGAGAGTCTCCTAGATAGGGTGTGTGAGGTGACAAAACCACTGGGGGGCGGCTGGGCTTAAAGCTCTGACCTGTCTTGTGACAGATGTGCTTGCTGGTGCATGTATTTGGGGGAAAAAGAATTGTCTTCTGTAGTAGGAAGGGGGCTGGTGGAGTCAGTCTCTAGTTTAGGCCCTAGGAAGACTCCCCAAGGAATTTGGACTCCTGGGTCCCAATGGCTGTGGGCAGGGTGCTAAGGAGGAGCTGAGGAGACCTTGTCTTGACCCTCTGACCTCAGGACCACCAGGGCAGCTGGGGCCAGCCACAGGGAGACCCCTACTGGGATGGGGCGGGACCACTGGCCACTGCCTGCCTGTGCATCACCGTTGGCCCCCCTCCCGAACGGGAGCTGGGGACCGAGGCCCCTCCTCTGGCTCAGACCACCCTGCCTGCCCTTGCTCCCCGCTCTGAAGCCTCTTTCAGGCCCCATGACCCCGAAACAATCCGTCCTGGGCAGCTAGCTTTGGGGACAGGATTAGGGAAAGGGGATCCTATAGACACTGGGGACTGAAGGTTTTAGGGCGCTGGAGAACTGCGGTCTTCGTAGGATAGGTCTTTACGGTCCAGTAGAGGGAGAAGGCAGCGCAGTTTCCCGGGGGGGGAGTTGTAAGGGCCGGAATAAGGGTGGGTTTTCCTTGGGGGGCGGGGTCCAGAGACACCCCCCCATTATCTCCCAGGCATCCCCTGCCAGGCAGCACAGACCCCGCCTTTGACGTCACTAGGGGGTTCCCGGGGGTCTGGAGGGGTTAACCCTTGGGAAGCTAGCTGGGATACCCGGGAACCTAAGGTGTCCTGGCCCCTCCCCCTCCCCGACACACCTTATTTTATTTACCCTAGTCACTTTCTCTCCCTGTAGTTTCTGGATTCTTCTTTTTCACCCCACCAAGGGGTCTCCCACTCTCCAACAGTGCCCCCCCCCCCACGGGCGCCAATGCCAGCTCTCTGGATGCACTGAGGGGACGAGGGAAGAATGTGTCCCGCCTCTCAGTCCACCCTCCCTCCACTCCGCTGCAGCTCGCTCGACTGGGCTCCCGGGGCGGGCGGGGGAAGCGGAGCCGTCTGCAGCCAGAGCCTGCGGCGGCGACTTGGGTGGGCCGAGGAGGCTCGGGGGCGGGGAAGGCGGGACCGGGAGAAGGGGGGCGGGGCCGACTCCTGGGAGTTGGGGAGCGGGGGTGCGAGGGGGGACTCTGGAAAATTGGGAGACACAGAGGATGATTCAGGGCTCCAGCAAGGGAACCCTGGAGCTCCCTGCCCCATCCTGCGCTCTCATCCACACCCCAGAAAAACTTAATTTTCTGAAGCTGGAAAAGTTGGCGAAATCTTCCTTTCACTAATGTGAAGGGGAGACGTGGGTGGGCTGTGGCACGCGTGGGTGAGGAGGGATGTCGCCCAATTTCCATCTCGGCCTCCCCTATGGCTGGGCACTGGGGCAGGAAGATGTCTGAGTAGGCATGTTTGGGGGAGTCTCTTTAGTTTTGGGGGGGTCGTTTGCTAGCCCCCGCCTCCTTCCCCTGGGTGAGTCATAGAGGAAAGAGGCGGGAGAAGTGTCCCCCCATCCAGCTGCCAGCCAGCCGGGCCCCCCCCCCCCCAAAGTAGTGCCAAGGTCGAGTTGGGAGGTCTTGGTTGCAGGATCCGGATCTCTGCTGGTAAAGGAGGAGTTAGGAAGAGTACAGCCCAGGCTGCGGGGCTCGGGCTGGGTCATGGGGTCCGGGTTCCGCTCCCCATCTTACCCCCGCCCTCACCCTAAATCCCAGCATCCTGGGATCACCCACCGCGCCGGCCGGCCCGCTCCCTGTCGCTCTCCACCCTACCCCGCCCCACCCCACCCTCAGTCCTGGGAGACCGGAAAACCCGGGGTGGAGTAAAAACTGGAGTTTGAGGAGAAAAGCGGACAGCGGCACCCTCTTCTCCCTCACTACTCCTCTCCAATGGATGACTTGTGTGTGTGTGTGTCTGTGTGTGTGTGTGTCTGTGTATTCTCCCAAAGTTTTCCCTCACAGCCCCTTTCCCGTTCCCGCAAAACAGACCAAAAGAGTTAGGCGGGCGCCCAGATTCAAACCACCCCTGAATAACACCAGCTTCCATCCTTTGTACCCAACAGACCCTGGAGGCTCTCCTCAGAAACTTTATCCCCTTCCACCCAGTTTTCTGCCTTAGAAAGGAAAGGACAGATCTTCTGGGCTCCCTCCTGGCCCCGTCAGCCTTTCTGGGCTGTGGCGAGGGCTCCCTCTGCTGGACACTGGAGAGGTTGTAGACGGGCTGTCCCTAGGCAGCGAGCAACAAATGAAGAAAGGGAGAGGGGCTCAGGCTGAGCAGCCAGCCCAGTGCCTGAGGTCAGTCACTCCTCCTCCTGAGTTCCCCCATCCCACCCCCTCAAAGCTGGCCCATGGTCAGAACAAGATGAAACAGAGGGCCCATGGTATAAAAAACACACACACACACACACACACACACACACACACACACACACAAACACACACCACCCAGGCAAAGCTCCCACCTGGTTCCCACAAAGATCCCCAAGACTGCCTCTACCTCTATGGGATTTCTCTCCTTACCGTCTCCTGGCTGAGTGAAGCTCACTTCAACTTGATTTCCCACGGCAGATGTCTTGGAGGTGCTCTGCCCAGGGTTCGGCACCTGACTTAGTTACCTGACCTTCCATATTTCTCTCCTGCTTTTATAACTTGCAGATCTCCCTTCCCCTCCTGCAGTGTCCCCACACTCTCCTCTGAGACACCATGTTCAACTCGATGACCCCACCGCCAGTCAGTAGCTATGGCGAGCCCTGCTGTCTCCGGCCCCTCCCCAGTCAGGGGGCCCCCAGCATGGGGACAGAAGGTCAGTGCGTACACCGATCCCCGGACCTTGATGACTGGCAGATCTCTCACCCAGTCCCAGGGATCCCTCGTCTATTGCCGGCCCCATGCCAGTTTCCCATATACAAAAAGATCTGAGGCCCCATGTCACTGGTGCTTGGAATATGGGATCGGGCCTTACCTGGGGTTTCGAGGTGAGACCTTATGTGTCCTCCATTCCCAACCCCCATTCCAGCTGTATCTCTTTTCTAGGACTGCCTGGTCTGCCCTTCTGCCACCAGGCCACCCTCATGTCCGGCCCCCACAGTTACGGGCCAGCCAGAGAGACCAGCAGCTGCACAGAGGGTGAGGCTTCGGGCAACATCTCTTTCCTTTCTGCCTCTTTGGGACTTGTCCTGAGGGAGAAAGTTGGAGGGCAGGGCATCTACTTTGGAAGAGGAAATGCTTGGAGATGGGATCAAGGAATCAGAGCATGATCAAGAGGTCACAGATGGGGTCAACAGGGCAGAGTCTGGTGTCATTTCTTCTGGCTGAGAGTCAGGACCCATGGGCTGCATGCATGGGGGACATGCTCCTTTACCGTATCTATCTCCCCTGTTTCCTGCCCCAGCCCCACTGTTTCCTCCTCCCCGGAGTGCAGTCAAATTGACCAAGAAGCGGGCTCTCTCCATCTCACCTCTGTCAGACGCCAGCCTGGACCTGCAGACAGTTATCCGCACCTCACCCAGCTCCCTCGTGGCCTTCATCAACTCACGCTGTGCATCTCCGGGGGGCTCCTATGGTCACCTCTCCATCGGCACCATGAGGTGCAGACAGCCTCGGGCTAAGAGGCCCCTAAAGGCCCTACCAAACCCCATTAAAAGCCTCAAGCCCTCCAAACCACCTGACCCTATTTGAATCCTTATCACTTCAAAGGCGTGGAAGCCCTGCTCAGTACTTCCCTGGGACTGCCTCAACCACTTCCCATACCGTCTTCCAGAAACCCTCCAAAGAGCTCAAGCACTCCTGAGGCTTTCTGAGATGATAGTCCTAAGTAACTGCCTCTCCTCCTCCTCCTCAGCCCATCTCTGGGATTCTCACCCCAGATGAATCACCAAAAAGGGACCTCGCCTTCCTTCGGGGTCCAGCCCTGTGGTCCCCATGAGCCCACCCAGGGTGGGATGATGCCACATCCTCAGTCCCGGGGACCCCTCTCAACTTGCCAGGTGAGAGTCCTCATATTGTCACCTGATTTCCCTCAGTTCCTGGTGGGCGGGTGGTAGACTTTTCAGAGGAAAGGTGAATGAAGAACAGAGGACGTAAAAGTTTTCAGTGCCAGAAAAATTAAGGGTTGTGGGTGCTGGGATTCGCTCCTTGGGGTTGAATCAGTCTCTTCCAAATGAGATCCCACCTTTCACCCATCCCACTCACCAGTGCAGTCTAAGGAGGAAGTCTCTTCCAAACCCAGGGGTTCCAGATGCTTGGGTGGGGGCACTCAGGGCAGGAAGACCTGGCTGGGCTCTCCCTTCTTCCTGCTCACTTCTCCCTTCACCATCCTCACCTCTGCCCTCGGGGAAGCTGAAGTCTGAGCTGGATGCGCTGCTTAGCAAGCGCCCAGAGGAGCCCTTGGAAGGTGATATGTGCAGCCCCAACTCCACGGGCACACAGGTAAGGGGGAGCGGGGAGCTTCACCTCTGCAACCTGAGCGAAACAAAAGCTGTCACCCAGGTGACACTAGGATTTTCTCTCCTACCCTAGGATCCCCTGCTGGGGATGCTGGATGGGCGGGAAGACCTGGAGAGAGAGGAGAAGCCTGAGCACGATTCTGTGTATGAGACTGACTGCCGCTGGGATGGCTGCAGTCAGGAATTCGACTCCCAGGAGCAGCTGGTGCATGTGAGCCGCAGGGGGTAACAGGAGTGCTGGCTGGAGCCTGTAGGACGTTCTGGGTGGGACATGATGGAATCAGGCTAAGGGCAGGAGGTCAGAGGTTGGGTGCCCAGTGGGTAGGCAGAAATTCAGGAGGTGTAGCTTTGTTTTAGAAACTTGGAAGAACGGAGCTGTGGGCTATGATGTTCTTCCTGCCTCTTCTTCCCCCATGATGGGAAGCCATGGAGGGATATGGTGTGGTGGGGAGGTCCAGGGAAGGTCTGTTGTGGATCTCAGGGGCATAGGGAACCACAGAGAACCTCTGCATCTTCTCCTTCAGCACATCAACAGCGAGCACATCCACGGAGAGCGGAAGGAGTTTGTGTGCCACTGGGGGGGCTGCTCCAGGGAGCTGAGGCCCTTCAAAGCCCAGTACATGCTGGTGGTGCACATGCGCAGACACACAGGCGAGAAGCCACATAAGTGCACGGTGAGGCAACCCCTCCCCAAGCTCAGGGCTCCTTTCTAAATCGGGGCTCCCCACCAAGGCAGGGCCCAGTCTGACTTTTGCCTCCATAGGTCCCTTCCTCCATAAACAAATATTCAAAAATTGTATTTTATGACTAGGTTGGTATGAAGATGAACATATTGATATTATATATTAGAACACTTTCTTGGACCTAAAAGCTAATTTTTCCCCTTGTTTTTAAAAGAAATTAAAACATTTTTGTGGGCCCCTAGAAGTACAGTGGGCCCTAGGCACCGGGTCTGGAACTCTGCCTAATGGGGAAGCCCTGCACTGAGGACACACACTCCCCGGATGACCCCTCCTAAGACAGTCTGGGCTCCCCATGCAGGAGACGTGCCCTGGTTTGACCAGGGGCTGCTCGCTGCCTCAGCTCCATGTCCCTGCAGGCCGAGTTCCTCCAGCTACTTCTGTTCCCCCAGCTCTTGCCTGCCCTTGTCCCTGAATTTTGGGAATTCTGAAGCCCCAGTGCTCTCCCATCCTGAGTTATATTCTCTGATGTATGTCACTTTTGAGATTCAGGGTTCCACTAATCTCCATGTCCTTCTGTCTGAGAGCGATCCTTTGACCCCCATGTCCCCTAGTTTGAGGGGTGCCGGAAGTCATACTCACGCCTGGAAAATCTGAAGACACATCTGCGGTCACACACGGGTGAGAAGCCATACATGTGTGAACACGAGGGTTGCAGTAAAGCCTTCAGCAATGCCAGTGACCGAGCCAAGCACCAGAATCGGACCCACTCCAATGAGGTGAATGCCCCACTCAAGAGACCCTCCCCACTTAAAGAAGCCACCTACTGGGGAGGTTCCCCCATAAGAAATCCCTTAGCCCAGCACCCACTCCACAGAGGTGAGTTCCCCCTACCCCCGACCCATATAATTCACCTGAAGAAGGTCTTTCTGAAACCAAGAATTTCCACTTACCACCCCTCCTCTAACCAGCCAAAGGGCTAAACTAAAATAGACACATTCTAACTAGAAGAGACCCCCTGGTCCCTTCAACCCCTGAATTTATGAGGCCTCACAGACCTGGGTTCACGCCCTCATCTTTCCCAGCCCTGGGCTGTCAGTTTTCCTCATCTTCCCCTTGATTCTTTCATCCTTGACTCCAAGGGCCCTACTCTCCTATTTCCTTGGGTGCTATGCATTCTCCCTGACCCCCCTCGTCCTCACTTACCACCACTTTTTCCCATTTCTTCTGAATTCTCCCGCTTTGATCCTTTTGCCTGCTGTCTTCACTCTCCATTCAACAGAAGCCCTATGTGTGTAAGCTCCCTGGCTGCACCAAACGTTACACAGATCCCAGCTCACTCCGGAAACATGTCAAGACAGTGCACGGTCCTGACGCCCACGTGACCAAGCGGCACCGAGGAGATGGCCCCCTGCCCCGGGCACCGGCTCTTTCCACAGTGGAGCCCAAGAGGGAGCGGGACGGAGGCCCCATCAGGGAGGAGAGCAGACTGGCTGTGCCGGAGGGTGCCATGGTGAGGCAACCCCCTGCCTCTATACCCCCACCTGCCCTGCCAACATCTTTCTAGTCCCCTCCCAACTGTGCAAATCTCTCTTCTGTGGCTGGTCCCCCAGTCTCTTATCCAAGTTTTGCTCCTTGGGCTACCTCAATTCTAGGGATTTTAGTGTAATTAACTACTTCATGGGTTCAACAAACTCATATATAGGAATTAGTATATTATTTTAGGCCTTGTGCCTGTATAATTTCACGTACTCCTCACAACAACTTCATGAGAAAGGAACTTACTCTCCCCATTTTCAGATAGGGAAACTCAGGCATAAAGAAATTGTTCAAGGTCATAGAGCCCAAATTTGAGTCAAGGTAGTCTAGGCTCTTCTCATCACCTTTGGCCCTCGTCTTTCACTTGCTCGGCCCTCTCCATACCCTTAAGCAGTCACTGGGACGCAGGCTTTAGCCACTCACCAAGTTCAGGGAACTGTGGGGAAGGGGGGTGGGTGCCACCCTTAGCCCTCATCTTCATCTTCCCCACAGAAGCCACAGCCAAGCCCTGGGGCCCAGTCGTCCTGCAGCAGTGACCACTCCCCAGCAGGCAGCGCAGCCAACACAGACAGTGGTGTGGAAATGACTGGAAATGCAGGGGGCAGCACTGAGGACCTGTCTAGCTTGGACGAGGGGCCTTGCATTGCTGGCACTGGTCTGTCTACTCTTCGCCGCCTTGAGAACCTTAGGCTGGACCAACTACACCAATTCCGACCAATAGGGCCCCGGGGCCTCAAACTGCCCAGCTTGACCCACACCGGTGAGAGATGGGTGTTGGGGGTGGTTGCTAGGCTGGGACCTGGACCTTCCCTGGGGTTGGAAGGAGGACTTCACCCTTCAGGGCTGCTATACAGCTCCTTTGTACAATTAGAAAAACGTCCTCCTTCCTCAAGACGCTTTCCTTCCATCTATCAGAAAATTGTTGTGACATACAAAGTCTACGATGCAAATGCTGTCCCCTATGATTGTGCAGTGTACAACCTGTAGGACTGTTCACAGCGACCCTGAATCCCTGGTGACCCAGAAGCAGAAAGGGCATGGGTGAAGGAGGAGACAAAACTGAGTGGTTAGAGTTAAGGAGCCTTCCTTGGGATTCCAGGACAAGGCTATCCCTTGGGGGAGGCAGGGTGAGACTCAGAGGGCTCCCTGGCCCCCCTGCCTTTTCTACCTATCACTTGCAGGCACTCCTGGGTCTCGCCGTCTGGGCCCCCCAGTATCTCTTGACCGCCGCAGCAGCAGCTCCAGCAGCGTCAGCTCAGCCTATACTGTCAGCCGCCGCTCCTCCCTGGCTTCCCCTTTCCCCCCTGGTTCCCCACCAGAGAACGGGGCATCCTCTCTGCCTGGCCTCACGCCTGCCCAGCACTACCTGCTCCGGGCAAGATATGCTTCAGCCAGGGGAGGTGGTACCCCACCCACTGCAGCACCCAGCCTGGATCGGATGGGGGGTCTTCCTGCACCTCCCTGGAGAAGCCGAGCTGAGTATCCAGGATACAGCCCCAATGTAGGGGTCACCCGGAGGGCCAGTGACCCGGCCCGGGCTGCAGACCGCCCTGCGCCAGCCAGAGTCCAGCGGTTCAAGAGCTTGGGTTGTGTCCACACACCCCCCACAGTGGCAGGAGGAGGACGGAACTTTGATCCCCAACTCCCAACCTCTGTCTACATACCACAGCCCCCCAGCATCACTGAGAATGTCACCATGGATACCAGAGGGCTACAGGAGGAGCCAGAGGTTGGGACCTCCATGATGGGCAGTGGTCTGAACCCCTATATGGACTTCCCACCTGCTGATACTCTGGGATATGGGGGACCTGAGGGGGCAGCAGCTGAGCCTTATGGAGCTAGAGGTCCAGGCTCCCTGCCTCTTGGGCCTGGTCCGCCTACCAACTACGGCCCCAACCCCTGTCCCCAGCAGGTCTCCTATCCTGAACCCACCCCAGAAACATGGGGTGAGTTCCCTTCCCACTCTGGGCTGTACCCAGGCCCCAAGCCTCCAGCTGCAGCCTACGGCCAGTGTCCTCGTCTTGAACATTATGGACAAGTGCAGGTGAAGCCGGAACAGGGGTGTCCAGTGGGTTCTGACTCCACAGGACTGGCACCCTGCCTCAATGCCCACCCCAGTGAGGGGCCTCCACGCTCACAGCCTCTATTCTCCCACTTCCCCCAGCCTCCCCCTCCCCAGTATCCCCAGTCAGGCACCTATACCCAGCCACCTCCTGATTATCTTCCTTCAGAACCCAGGCCCAGCCTGGATTTTGAGTGCCCTACTCATTCTACAGGACAGCTCAAGGCGCAGCTTGTGTGTAATTATGTTCAGTCTCAACAGGAGCTGCTGTGGGAGGGAGGGGGCAGGGGAGACCCCCCAGTCCAGGACCCTCTCTACCAGAGTCCCAAGTTTCTGGGGGGTTCCCAGGTTAGCCTGAGCCCTGCCAAGGCACAAGTGGCCACATATGGACCTGGCTTTGTACCCAACTTGCCCAATCACAAGTCAGGCTCCTATCCTACCCTTTCACCATGCCATGAAAATTTTGCAGTAGGGGCAAACAAGGCTTCCCACAGGGCAGCAGCACCACCCCGACTTCTGCCCCCACTGCCCACTTGCTATGGGCCCCTCAAGGCAGGGGGCACCAACCCCAGCTGTGGCCATCCTGAGGTGGGCAGGCTGGGAGGGGGCCCAGCCTTGTACCCTCCTCCTGAGGGGCAGGTGTGTAACCCTCTGGACTCTCTTGATCTCGACAACACTCAGCTGGACTTTGTGGCTATTCTGGATGAGCCCCAGGGGCTGAGTCCTCCCCCCTCCCACGATCAGAGGGACAGCTCTGAACATACCCCACCTCCTTCTGGGACCCCCAACATGGCTGTGGGCAACATGAGTGTCTTACTGGGATCCCTGCCTGGGGAGACACAGTTCCTCAACTCTAGTGCTTAAGGAGTGGGGAAGCACAGATCCACATTTCCTAAGGGGTTTCCATCCCCACAAAGGAGTCAGGAGGAGGAGCCATAGCCCCCTGGAATACCCCAGGGATGGGAGGTATGGGCTGGGGCTGTACACAGTCTAACTATATTTGGGGAGGAATTTGATAATGACACTGTTTCCTGATAATAAAGGAACTGCATCAGAAAGAGCCCTGCTTTATATGTTATCTTGGGGGAGGGGTAATGACAGGGAACTAGAGAAGCAGGGTTTAATCCATCCACTTCCCTCTTTAGAGAAGCTTCCTCACCCTTTCCCAACCCCTCAGGTCCAACTCACAAAGATGGAGACAGTCATCTGGTAGACACAGGATTTAAAGGGATATCCTCAAAGCAGAACAACCCCCACCAAAGGCTATCCAACAGAAATCACCGGAGACACATTTTCTCTTCTACCTTGCCCCAGTCAGCGGAAGAGGCTGGTGTAGTCGGTGAGCATCAGCTGGACGAGCTGCCCAGGGTAGAGGGCATGGGCCGCTGGGTCAGATGTCTCCTGCTCCGGTCGAAATAGGGTTGGTCCAAACACAATTCCCAGGTTGTGGGAGGTCATGCGGTTCTTGTCTGAGTGTGCTATCACCCTGTGGGCAAAGGCCAAGAGACAGGGCCATAGGGCAGCAGCCTTGCCACTGCAAACAAATCTAACCCTTCAGAGGTTTGAGGAAGAGTTCACTTTGGGATCCCTCCATGCCGTGGCTGAAGAAAATCAAGGAGAGAGCCTCCAGGGGGACGGAGATGAAACCAATGGAGAAGCCTTCAGGATACAACTTGAAGATACAACCTAGGATACACCCACCTCTTCCCAACTTCAGAGACTGCCCCTAGAGTCCTCTCTGCTCACAATTTGGGAGGCTTTAATTCAAATGGCTATGCTCTCTCAGAGGTCACTGCCCGGGTCCAACTCCACCAAATAAGTCATCCCTACTGTCCCAGTGAAAGACAAAGAAGCAGAGGGAAGGGAGAGGGTGAGATTTTCCTTATTTCTCTCGCAGTATCCCTGGGCTTGTCTTGGTCCCCAGTTCCCCATTTGATGCTGACTGAGCAAAAAGGCTTTGACTCTGGTAATATGTGCTCTGCACAGCGGTTGCTTATTTCCTCCATCACCCACTAAACTTAGGTGTTTCCCTACCTTCACCCCATCTGAACACAGAGTCCCAGCTGCAGGCCCCATCCCACCCTCTCCCAACATGAACAAAGATGTTCAGTCTTCCTGACCTGCATAAATGCTCCAGGAGGTACTGTAGAGTGTCATGGTTGGGCTTCGGCATTGAGCTTATTAATTCTTGTATTTGAGAGAGGCGCTGTTCTGATTCAGAGAGTGCTAGAGAGAGAGTGATGGGAAGGGCATGGGAGTGAGGTTAGGGAAGGTGCTAGGGCAGGGTGGGTAAACTCACTACTCTTTCCCATGCTCGGTGAAGACATCATTAATCTATCACAGCTTTCTTTTTTGCTGAGTCCAACTGCAACCTTAGAATTCTTTTAAACTCAGCCCTCTAAACACTCAGCAAAACAACAACTGGAGTTGGCACATTAGTTGAAAGTTATTTTCCATCTCTGTGCTCAGGATGGGACAGAAGAGTATAAGGGAACCTCTACTCTATTCTTTATCACTCATGCTCCCCCCACTTCCCCTCCACCCCATATCAAGGGTATTGCCCAAGGCTCCCATCCTTTACCAAGGGCAGCACGAAAATGGGGCAGCAGCAGTGGGGGCACCAGAGGCTGGGGCAGCTCCCTGAGAAAAAGCTTCAGGGCTCCAGTGATCACATGAATGTCATCCCACTCAGCACTGTCCAAATCTAATCGGCCTTCTGGAAGGAGAAGGAGGTACAGAGGGGCTCAGAAATGGCCAGAGGGACCCAGAAACTGAGAGATCAGGAGTTTGGGAAAAGATTCAGTTAAGGCAGACCACAGGAGTGCCTAAGGGGTCCACAGTGGGGCAAGACGGCAGAAATCAGGATGGGGACAACCCCCCAGAAGCAGGACACGGGGGAATCCACGGGGAGCAGGGATGATGTGGGTGACTTTTAAGGGTCTGAAGGGCCCTCCATGTAAGTACCTTGTCCTGGCTGTTCTGGGAACATGTATCTCCCATCGGAGGTGATTGCCCGCTCTGCAACATGTATAAGAAGAGATCAAGCACTAAGACATGTAGCTCAAGACAGAAGACGTCCCTTTTCTGCCAGCTCCCTCACTCAGAACCACCTGTGATTCTGATACATGAAGTTCTTAGTACCACACCTGCCCAGAGCCACCTCACCTCTGTCCACCAAGAAGCGAAGTTTCTGGACCACTGCCAAGTTCCCGCTCACCCGGTAAATGCCATCCACATTTAGACCTAGGAGATAAGGCAGGGAGCAGATAAGGATTCTTGCTCTAAAGTGTGTGCTGGTGAGGGATCTGAGGGTACAGTGAAAAAAGGGCAGAAGGAAGACTAGGATGGGGGAGGTGGGGAGTTCTGGGCCTTGGCCTGTTAGAAGGGGAGATTCTGGGGTCTCTGGGAAAGTGACCTCTCTTATCCACAGCAGCAACGCAGAGCCGCACAAAGCTGGGCACAGTGTCCCCTTCCCGCTGGCACAGTGATTCCAACTGGCAGCCAAACACCTGGTCTGGGGAGGCACAGAGTGAGGTGGGAAGCCAGTGACAGCGTCACCCATGAAAGCTCTTTCTAGCACGGGTCTTCACCCCAAAGTTGGGCTGGCTCTCCTGCCTGCCTGTTCCAGGTCTGGGCAAGGAAGTATACCCCCTCCCCCCAACAATCAGCTGCAGGGGGGAAAAGCAGTGGTCTCAGAACTCTGCTGATCTAGTTCTGGGAAGCTCTACTCTGAGCCTCGCTGAAGTTTTCTCATCCATGAAATGGGCTGATGCCGAGATCCGGAATGTAAATAAAAGTGCTTGCAAAAACACTAAAGCAAAAAAAAAAAAACAAAACACTAAAGCAGGCACTAAGAAGGGCCTTAGGTGGCCCAGCCCATCTCACCTCGGAGCAGACCCCGCTCCTGCAGGGTTTGCAAGGGCGGTCTCTTTGCGATAAGCCGCTTTAGTTTGTTTCGTACCCGGTTCTGCTCAGCTCCTTCCGGACACCGACCTGCGGAAGCAAGTGGAATCTGAGCATGAGAGCAGCCGCCACTGTGGCTCCGAGGAGCAGGGAAAAGCCCCCAGACCCCGCCCACCAGGCCTGCCCCTTAACTGGAGCTCCGACGGCTGCTGATCCGCAGCAGTGGCTTGGACACCGGCTCGGACTCCACTTCTTCGTCCTCCCCCGCGCTCAGTTCACCCAGCTCCGCAGGTCCCGAACCGGACAGACGCAGCTCCAGGGGGTTCTCTCGATCCTATATCAGCACAGCAAGATGGGCCGAATCAGAGGTTGGAAGAGAGCTAGGAGAGAAATCTGCACCCCCCTTGCCAGCTGCTGGGGTCCCACACATCCCAGGCCCACCCCAGGGCTCTACCTGCCACCTTGTCCCTCACCACCCCACATCCTACAGTTCCTTCTCCACTCCTTCTGCCCGCCCAAGCCTCTCCCGGGTCACTGTCCTGCCACCTCCCACCCATCTCACCAGGCGCTCGATGACCGCCCGCAGTGCACAGTGCCAAGCGCGTAGCTCGGCCTCGTGGTCTGACTGCAGCAGGAACTCGTGGCCAGGGACCGTGCGGATCTGAGGGGCCCGCGGGGAAAGGGCTTGAGTCAGCGGGAAGAAGCATAAAGAGCAGGGAGGCCCAGCGGGAGACCCGTGAGGGAAACTGGGGGCGCACCCTCGGGCCGGGCGGGGCTTCGGGGATGAGCGGGAGAGCGCTCACGTGTAGGACGTTGCGGCGGCTGGACAGCTGGCGGCCATGGGCCAGGGCGGCCCCGCGCAGGTCGACGCTGCTTTCGGGTCGGCTACCCGCCGGTCCCTGGCGATCCGGGGAGAAACTGAAGCCACGGCGCTGTTCCCCTCACGGCCCCTTTCTCACCCGGTGGACTGCGAGGACACGGGAGGCTGCGCTCCTTCCTCTCGACGTGCCCTCCCCCCCCCCACCCCGGTAGGCCTGAAGCCTGTAGAAGTTGTGCCGGAACCCCTCGTGCCCCCCGCTGCTCCCCTCCCTCACACTCACCCAGACGGTGCAGGGGGCGGTCGGCGGTGCCTCTCGGTAGAACACCAGGCTGTTACCCGCTAGTACTACCCAAGATGGGCCCCAGTTCTTCCTGCAGGGGCGGCGGGGGCAGTGATAATAGTGCAGAGGTCATTTACATTCGCGTCCGCGAGGGCCCAACACTTGGCGCTACCCGCGGAATCCGACAGTCCCCGCCCCTGCTGTGTTCCCAGTTCTCACCGGAGCTTGCGGCCGCCCTGGGCGATCTTCGTCATGTTGAGCATGCCCGACCTTTCCACCTCCTGGCAAGAGGAAGGAAAGGTATCAATAAGCCACCCAGAGCCCCCCACAGTCACCATGGCTTTCCCCAGGGGATCTCCCAGGAGTGAGGTCCTTTAAAGTTGAGCGGGCGGTGCTCGGTAAGAGAGGATACCCAGAGAACACTCAGAAAGAGGAAGACCTTTCTGAAGGGGCAAGAACTGGGGGCTGGGCAGGGAGGATCTTCACGTTCACAAGGAAACGGGAGACTTACATGGGGGTCGTCCAGGACCTGCGGCAGTGGCCGAGGGGACTGCAGAGCCGAAGGCTGGTCTGAGGGGTCGAGCTGGGAGGCGAGTCTGCAGAGGGAGGGTGAACCCTGGGGGAGGGGATTGGAGAAACAGGTGGAGGAAACTTTAACTTCGGAGTCCCTGGCTGTAGGGGGAAGAGGGGTGCGGATGTGGGGGTGTGAGTCAGGGGGTGTGGTGGGGTGCTGAAGAAGAATGTCTTGCATAAAAGAGAAAGTCTAAAACCATGGCTTTTCCTGCATGTGATGGGGGGGCGGGAATCTCACCTGGGAGTCGAAAAGTCCTGGCGTCCCTGTGCCAGATTCTGAGTCCTTTGCCTGAGGTTGCAAGACACCGTTGTCCTTATTCATGGTCTGTGGCCCCTCCATGGAGCCAGGGTTCTGGGGAGAGGGAAAGGCAAAACTCCATCCAGATGCCACCTCAATCGGCTCTCGACACCCTTCTTAACAATTTTTTGATTTGTCTGATCTTCTGAGAGTCCCAGTGAGAAAACATACTACTTTGGGGATCAGTAGGGGAAAGAAGGAGATTGAAGGGACAAGGGACAAGCAGGAGGGAAGGTCTCACCATCTCTCGGGTGCGAGTGTGGCGTGGAGGCTTCCAGGATTTGCAGCCAGTCAGCGAATTTATGTAGAAGCAGCGTCCAAAGTTGGGGTCCAAGTGCTGCTCCCAGGCGTCCAGCCTCTGCAGCGGGGGACATGCAGGGCTTGTGGGTGGGGACCGGGGACAGCGGCGAAGGTCCACCAGGTTGCAGTACACAGGGGGCTCTGACATGAAGGTCTGGGGTCTTGCCTGCAAGGAAAGGGGGAAGAAAGAGGTAGTTATTCTACCTGAGCCCCTCCCCGATCTTCTCTCTCCTAACCATCTCCTCCTCTCTCCCCCACCATTTTCTCACCACCACCTCCTGGCTGGGGTGACCCAGGTACTGAGGAAGAAACCCTAGTCTCCTGCAGCTGTTTTTTTTCTGTTTTTTTTTTTTTTTTTTGACTCCCTCCCTCACAGTCTTTGCTTTTCTCCTCACTTCCTGTTGCCAACTTCCCTCCTCCCCCACCCCACCCCCACCAGAGGACCTCAGGAAAGGGGAACAGGCCTTCCGTGTGTATGGAGGGAGGGGTCAAGAGGAGCGTCCCACCCTCACATCCTCCAGAGTAAAAGGAGACAGAGAGGGGTCAGAGGCCCCTGCTAGCGGAGTGTGAGAGAGGAGGGGCCATTTTTCACCCACTAGTAAGTAAGAGAGAGGGGAGGGGCTGAATCTTCAGGAAGATCAAGGGAGTTCCATCTCTAGAGGAAACTTGCTGGTGACCTGAGCTAGCAAGACAGGACACAGCAAAAAACCCTGCCCTGGGCCAGGAGTCAAGAGGCTGAGAGACAAAAGCAAAGCTAAGCTGGCCTTTCAGTCCCTCTATCATTTTGCAGGTTCCACGTACCCTCAGGATCTTTGCTACTTGCTGTCCCTCAGCTAGAATTCCTTCTCATCTCCTCATTTGTTTCAGGGCTGTCTCTCCTCATGCAGATTCCACTAAATGTCATTTCCTCAGAGATGCATTCCTAGACCACTACATTCATCCTCCACCACATTTAGCTTCTTGGTAGTGCTTTTTAGTACCAAGGGCTATCTTATTTATGTGTTCATTATCCCCATGGGAATCCCTTGACGGCAGAGATTCTGTCTGTCCTGTTTGCTAATGTGCCTAGAACTAAGCCCAGCAGTAAATGTCTGTTGACTGACTGCTCAGAAGAAGCACTATGACTCACCATGTTCGCATCGGCGTCTGTCAGCAAGTCTTCCTGGGAAAGGGATCTTCTACTTGGTCCTTCCTGGAAGGGCTTCAGGAGGCTTGGCCTCAAGTTGCTAACACTGATACTTCTACACATTTTAGGGGGAAGAGGAGGAGGCTGCTCAGATGTAGCCTGGGCTCTGCCTGGGGTTTCCTGACACAGGTGCATCTCCTCCAGGGAGCCAGGAAGTAACTTTGGCCCTGGAAACAGAAAAATGGGAAGAGTTGGGGGCAGGGTCCCCCCATGGGTCTTGGCTGGGTCCCTGATCTTGGGGGCTCACAGGGAAGACAAGAGCAGGTAGAAAATTACATGAGATGTAGAAGGCTTGAGACTAGGAAGGAGAGGCGATAGGGACACCATGGTGGGGATGAGGGGTAGGAGTAGAGGATTAGCAAAAGCTTCGGGGAAGGGGATCTTTCCAATAATTCCCAGAAGCCAGGGAGGTAGGAAGGTGACGGGGGAGGACTTACTCACCAGGAGTCCAGAGGGATTGGCTGGGGGTGATGGTTGTTGGGCTCTGAGAAGGGCTGAATTCCTCTGTCATGGAGGCAGCTGGGATGAAGATGGGGCGAGAGGTGGAGGGTGTTCCCAGGCGCCTTACCAACCACCAGTCTGAGTTGGTCTTTTGAAGCAGTAGGAACCTGTCCCCTTCAGCCAGAGACACCTGCCGGCCATCTGCCCCAGTGTAAGTGAAGGCGTACAGGGCACAGAGCTGGGATCCCTGAGAAGGGCTCCGGGTCCCCAGCCCTAGGTTTCCCCGGGTACTTGGCCACCACCCGTTCGATAGCATTGTCGTCGGTACTGTCACCTATGGGAAAAAGGGGTGAGGGAGGTCCAGAAAAGGATAGGAGTGGCTACTTGCAGGCAGAGAGACATGGTTCTAAGAGCAGTGTGGGGTAGAGGGGAAGAATAGAAAGCCTGGGGTAAGAGGAGAGGGTAAGGCAGAGGGCCTGAGTGGGGGTCAGTAAGAGGTTTTGGGGGCTGAGAAGTCCTGGCTGATGTGACTAATGAGGAAGTATGCAAGTAAGGTGAGAGAGGATGTGGTCAGCAGGGCTTCGAGACCAGCAAGGCAGGAAATCAGAGGAGGGGGTCTAGCTGGGTGATTTTCCTCCAAGTACCTTCTGGGGCCAATCAGAAGATCCAGGGACAAGAGGAGCTGGTCCTGGGTGGTGGTGGGACTCTTGAGCTGGACACAAGAAGATGAGGAGAAAGAATCAGGTCTGAGACAGAACACAGGCAAAGAGACAGGAGTTAATGAATGACAAAGATACAAAAATGTGTGACTCTTTATTAAATTTACACAAGCACCAATGTTTCTATTGCCAATCACCTCAGACCTAAAACTGCGTACTTCCTGTGCAGATTCAGAAAAACACAAAGACAGAGAAACAGAGTGCCAGAGAAATACTAAGACCAAGTTGGAGAGAAAGAGAAAGTGGCTGGGAGAAACACAGAGGGGTTCAGAGTTTGAGGAAGAGGTGAAAATACCATCCTCTCAATTTAGGATGTGTTTTGGGGAGCTGAGCAGCCTTGATATGATCCTCTGTACATAAGCCTCTTGGGTGGGACCATACTTTAGTGTGTGGGTTCATTCATTCATGCTCTTAGCAAGGATTGGCTGAGCACCTCCTGCGTAAAAAGAACAGTGTCAGCTACTGGAGATAAGAGAAGGGAAGGAGATAGACATAGCCCTTGCCTTCTTGAAGCTTAAAGACAGATCTTAACTGATGACATAATAAATTTATTAATTACAATTGAATCAGGGACTATGGACAAGTAGTACAGGATGCTTTGACAGCTTATGGGGGTGAATGGGGGACTAATGTTAGCTTCTCCCTGGTGGAAGGTGGGAACTGACCTCCGCTGTCGGTTGCCAGAGCTTTAAACCCCACGCCTGTGCTTCCTCCTTACCTGACCACGCCTCTTTTCCCCTTCTCTCAGTCTCTCCACTGCGAGATGTGAGGATTTCTGTCTGGCTTTGGAGACGTTGGGTAGGGAGTGCCCCACCCCCTTGGTGACATCAGAGAGCCAGCTCTCCTCCCGACACATGATTTGAGGCCTTGAGGCCCAGGCTGCCAGTATTGGGATTCTGTCTCAGTGATGTCTTCCTTAGTTTGCTCTGTTTTCAACTTGTGGAGAACCTTACCTCTCAACTCTCCCTTTCCACTTCCAAAATAGTGACCAACTTTATTCATTTATCCATTCATCTGGTGGTTGTTAAGTGCTCAAATCTCATCCTCTTCTGCCTTCTCTGCCATCTCTCCTGCACTTTATCCTTTTCCTCTTTATTGGCTCCTTACCGTTAGCTTTTAAACATATCCAAGTCTCTCCCATCTTTAGACGAACTTCCTTTTACTGTACTCTCCACCCTATCTCTGTCTTCCTTCTTACAGTCAAACTTCTTGAGAAAGTTGCCTAAATGGGGGTCTCCATTTCCTTTCCCCTCACTCCCTCACCTTTGCAAGCTCACTCCTCATAGGGTCACCCCTAACTTTGCAGGGACACTCTGCAGTCCTTATGTTGCTTGACATCTCAGCAACAGCCAACACAGTTGACCTTTTCAGCAGTTCCTTCTCTGTTGCATGAGGAAGGACTTTGCTTGCTTCTTAAACTCCAGAGGTCTGTCTGAGATCCTGTACCCTTTGCATTCTATACACCATAGGTGATCTTATTCTCTCCCCAGCTCAAATGACCTCCATACGTTGCTGGCACCATATCTCTGGTCCAGCTCTTTCTCTGGAGCTCCAGTCTAATCCATTGTCCACTGAAAAACTCCACTTGGGTTTTTCATAGGTACTACAAACATAGTATGTTCTGAACTGAACTTGTCAGCTTCCCCCCCAAATCTGTTTCTCTTCTAGTACAACTATTAAGTTAAATATACTTATTTATTTTTGGCTGTGTTGGGTCTTTGTTGCAGTGCACAGGCTTCTCATTGCAGTGGCTTCTCTTTGTTGTGGAGCATGGGCTCTAGGCACGCGGGCTTCAGTAGTTGTGGCTTGCGGGCTCTAGAGCGCAGGCTCAGTAGTTGTGGCGCATGGGCTTAGTTGCTCTGCGGCATGTGGGATCTTCCCGGACCAGGGCTGGGACCCGTGTCCCCTGCATTGGCAGGTAGATTCTTAACCACTGTGCCCCCAGGGAAGCCCTTATTTATTTATTTTCTTTTTTGGCTGCACCATGCTGCTTGACGGATCTCAGTTCCCCAACCAGGGACTGAACCCGGGCCATGGCAGTGAAAGCCCGGAATCCTAAAATCTAGGCCACCAGGGAACTCCCAAGTTAAATTTAAATTTATAAATATTTATTGAATGCTTACTGCCATACGTGCCAGGGCAAGGACCATGTGCTAGGCATTGTCAATTAAGAGGCCCTCTCTTGGGGAATTCCCTGGCGGTCTAGTGGTTAGGACTCAGCTCTTCCACTGCAGGGGGCATGGGTTCCGTCCCTGGTTTGGGAGCTAAGATTTCTCATTTTTTGGCGTGGCCAAAAAAAAAAAAACCAGATGCCCTCTCATAACAATTAAAATACAGTGTGATAAACACTATGATAGGGGAAATACTATCATCTGTTGGAGTACATAGAGGATGTACCCAATTGCCCATGCCAGAAACCTGGCAGCCAACCTTAATTTCTCTTGTTTCCTCACCACTCACATTTAATTGATTACTGAATCTTTCCAACCTGCCTACTTCCTTTAATCCCTACAACTACTGCCCTTTTCAGCCCAGATAATATGACCTTTGAACTAGTCTCCTTGCATATAGTTCTACTCCTCTCCAGTCCATTCTTGGCACAGCAGCCAGAGTGATGCTTCTAAAACATAAAAATGGCCTGCCACTCCCCTGACTTAACCATTCAAAGGCTTCCCATTTTCCTCAGAGTAAAGTCCAAATTTTACAGTGTGGTTTACAGAGGCTTTCTCCTTTTAGCCCAGTGTTTTCACACTCCCCACCACAAACTCCATACTCCAGCCACACACTACTTCCTCACATTCCTAAACAGCATTGAGGTCTCTGGTCCTTTGCATAAGTTGTTTCCTCTGCCTGAAACACTTCCTTTCCCCACTCCTACCAACCTCCACCAGGCTAACTTTCTCATTAGCTAGGTCTCAGTTGAAAGGCCATTTGCACAAGAAGGCCTCTCTTAACCCCTTAGAGTCGGGTAGGGGTCCTAACTAGGAGACCCTACAGCAGATTTCACATTCCCACATTATAACTTTCATGACACGTTAAAGGTTATTTGACTTTCTGACTTCCCAGGAAGTCTGTGAGCTCCGCTAAGGCAGAAGCCTATATCTATTTTGTGAATAATCGTATCTTCAATGCATTGTATAGCACAAAGTAACCTCTCTGTACCTCAGCTCATAAGTACAATTAGGTATTAATTAATCTTAAAGGGATACAAAGATGATTAAGAAGGGTCCCTTTCTCAATTACTGATACGTGCTTCCTTGAATAACATATACTTATTGACAAACTCTTAGCCTTCTTACTCCGCCTCAACTTACCTTTTTCCTTTACATGCTCCCTTCCCTTTAAATGAGATTGCCTGGCTGCATATGCGCTTTAGAATGGTATTAAATCAATATTTAATAGTCACATTCTTTTTTGTTAATAGGATATGTACCCTAATTTTTATTGTGTCACTAACGTAAGTTTATCATAACTCTCAACTCTAAAACTCTGATTCTTATGAACTCGAATCGAGAGTCAGCCATTGCGAACAGCCGCTATCATGACGTCGCCACTTCAGCAAGATGACTGGGGGCGTCGGTTTCCGTCACCGCCCGTGGGCTGCGTTACAGGATTAAAGCGCGCCGAGCCCCACACATAAAGGTCTCCTCGGCCCTCCCACCAAAAAAGTGCTGCTCTGGCACAGTATCTACTGCCTCTCCGTCTCTATGACACTCTTTTCCTGTTTCCTAGTGTTGCATGATGGGAGAAATAGTCTACTTTCCGGGAGTCTGGCCGGGGGAAAGGCCACATTCGGAACTCCATTTCCCGGCGTGCTTCGCGGCGGTCGCTCATCCCACTGGCGGGAGACCGGTTCCGGTTGCATCAGCGTGGGATCCGCGGCGAAATGAGGTTGTTCGTGAGCGAGGGCGCCCCGGGGAGCCTGCCCGTGCTGGCCGCCGCCGGGAGGGCCCAGGGCAGAGCGGAGCTGCTTATCAGCACTGTAGGCCCGGAAGGTAGTCTGCTGGTGCTGGTGGGCGGTGGATGAGCCGGGCGGGACTGAAAACACGCCGACGACCACCCTACAGTTGTCTTCGTCAACCCCGCCCCCGTCACGCACTCCCGTCAACCTTCTCCCGCATTATCCTTGGGCGCCCCATCCCCTCTTTCTTCCCAGTCGTACCTTTCATCTGTCACTTCCCTTAATTACCCTCAATGTACCCTTCTCTTGCCTTCCCTCCTTCCTCTTCCAGGACCTCGCCTCACTCAGTGAACCTCTTTCCCTTTTCCAACCTTCTCTCACCCCTATCAGGCAACCCCCCCACCACACGTCACTCACATGATAACCGCCAGGTTCTCCTTTGTCGTTCTTAGGAAACCCTGCTTTCCTTTCCTAAGCACACAGAGACACACATACTCTCTTCGGTTTACCTCTTCTCATTCCCAGCCATCTGTTTGGGTGACTCTTAAGTGGTTCTCTTGTCAGTCCTCCCAGTTCTCTTAATTTTGTTCTCCCACTGCAGCTCAGACCAGTCTCAGATATCCTGATTACTTTCAGTTGTTCCACTTCTTGGCTGCAGCACTACCCCAGTACCACCACCTCCTCGCTGCAGTCCCCATCTGTTGTTTCCAGCTGGCCGTCTCAGCTGAACACCTGCTGGTCTCTCCAGTTCATTCTGGACCCACCCCCTTTCAGTGCTCCTA